AAATATTTCATAGCTTTCATATTCCTTTTTCTTTTACACATAGCATACCATCTAATATTTATACATATATATTCATAGTACATATTTACTTATATATCTCGAATATGTTATTTATTATGTTATAGAGAGTTTCATTATTTTCCCACACACCTCATTTGAATTTGGCGAGATATTCCAAAATCATATCCGCTGTGGAATATCATTCCTCTGCAGTTTAATCTTGAATGCCGAAATTTTGTTGAAATATATCCTTTCAAAAGAGTTTTTATAATGCATACTCAGCAATTCTGCAATTTGAATTTAAAACGAATGTAATCAAGCTGCACTAATTAAAAGGCTGAATTACAACGACTCTAGTGTATCGTGCCACGAGAGCTTAGACTCATGAACACTGAATCATGTTGACAGCTTCAACAAATTAGACTTTAATTGTTGCCTAACTGCAAAAACAAAAACCAAATATACTTAAATATGAAATGCGCAAACAAAGCGTGCATTTAATAAATTTTAATTAGAGCGTAAAGTCACCAAGCAAGACAACATAAACAACGCTTCAAAAAAAGCAACAAAAAAATGAATTGCTGAAAAGAAGAAAGCTGAGTAAATGTAGAAGATTAAAAAACAGAAATAGAAGCAAAAAATTTAATTTAAAAATATTTAATCGCAACAACTGTCAATGCAACAATGTGGCAAAACGTACAGTTGGCTGACAGCACTTTTGAGTAATATGCGATCATATTATACTTACAACATATTTACTTAAGAGCCACTCTTGCTTTAAATTCACATATAAATTTCATTAAAAACCCGTTTGAAGGGAAGACTCATTAATTTGTGTCATATGAACGCCGGATCACTATAATAAAAGAACATACGCATACATAAATACTCGTACATACAAAAGCAAGTGATCATGCTGGCGACCAAGCTTTAAGATATTGCAACAATTCATTAAATTCAGAACAAGCATTAACTTCGGCTGCACCGAAGCGCTAATACTCTTCATACGGGCATTTCTTATAACATAAAAGGGTATAAAAAGATCTTTACCTTTATTGTGATCGGCCAGTTTGCAGGGCAGCTATATACTACAGTGGTCCGACCTGAACAATTTGTTTGGAGATTCGAGATTGTACCGTTGCTTTGGCCAATAATGCGTTCCAAATTTCGTGAAGATATCTGGTCAAATAAAAAAGTGTTTATGTAAGAACTTTATTTTGAGCGGTCAGTTTAATATATGCTATAGTGGTCTGATATCGGCGGTTCTGACAAATAAGCAGCTTCGTGGAGAGAAAAGGACGTGTGCTAAATTTCCGATCGATATCTCAAAAACTGAAGTAATAGTTCGCGTACTTGTATATTGCGACAGACAGCTGGACTTGAATAAATCGACTCAGTTCGTCATTCTGATCGTTAATATACATATATATTTTTATGGTATATGATCTCTGACGTTTCCTACTGGGTGTTGCAAACTTCGTGCCAAACTTAATATACCCTGTTTAGGGTATTATACAAAACACATGAGATAATAAAAAGACAGCCCAAGAAACGTCAAAGACATTGACCAACAGATGCACATAAAATTTAAACAGCCGCAGACAGCGATAGCCGACCAATTGTTGCACATAAATAATTACGAACACACACACATGCACACACTTAGCTACATCAGCAACAACAGTGACAGCAGTAATGCTCTTAACGGTAGCTGTGGTGTACCAATGTCAACGCCATTTAATGTCAAAATATAATTTTTTGACAAATCGTAAATTGAATGAGTTGAAATGTTTGAAATGTAAAACCGTCAAGGCGTTGCTGAAATATGTCGGAGGAAAAGTGGCGAAGGCGTTTACCCGCTTACTTACATCTGTACTTACGCTGGCAGATAATTGCATGATTTAGAGCGTGAAATCGTTGTTGGGGTGACTCCGTAGAACACTGTAACACAAATATTCGTACTCAAGCACTTGTGGCTAGGGGTCTTACGCACTTGCTAAATGCTTTTAATCGTCGGCACATTTTTGTATATAAATGTTTGGGTAGTTTATATGAACATATGATCATTTTAAATGCTCAAGATCAGTTCGTAATTAATGTGATCGTTAGAATTAGAATTTAAATTGATTCAGTTGGGGTGTAAGTGACACTTGTGCCTTGGCTAATGAGCGCATTCAAAATGAATATGATACATTTAAAATTTGTTAAAGCTGACCTAAGATTTTACTAACATTCACTCCCATCAAGGATAAGAGTGTGATCTTACCAAGGATAAGCTGTTCAACAATTAATTGATAAAGTTTAATAATTATTGCTGGCTATAGTATGATATATTACAATAAGTTGAGGAAAATTGGGTTACAACAACATGGTATTCGGGTTTATTATTGGATTAGCCACACTTTTACTAGCTACACTTTAGGAGCCATAAAATGAAGTTTTAACAAATGTGATCAACTTTAAAAGATGTTTATAAAATTAATGGTTTCCTTTGTTATTTTCAAGCTCTTACTAGTAATATCTACGCCAAGAGTTTAACCTTACTGATCTTGATGCTTTGAGATGAATTTTAATGCTCTTTTAAAGAACCAAGAAAGATCTTTTCTGATATAGATCGTATACTTTTTAAAAATTGTCTTAGCACGCGAATGTAATATTTGATTTTGATACTTTTCGGTGTTTAATTCGCCCCTCTTAGACTTTTTCGGCATACGATATTTTCCATTTTTCCTCATATAATCTTTTATACTTAACAGATCAATGTGAAAGGATCAAAAACCGTTAGCTATTTGGAGTCGGGAAGAAGCTGATACTACAGAGTGTATGATTTGTATGATCATTAATTGAGCACATTCTTTAAATTTTTTGTACTGTTACAATTATAATAAGCCGGTACTGATAGAGGCTACAGGAATATTTGACCTCAAAGACCCCTAGTTTGTGGCTCAATATATAATATGAAGATATATAAAAATTGTAATATTCGCGGACTAAAATATGCTTTGTAATTGGCTTTGATTTTACCAGATTTTCATAAAATCTCGCTATGGTCTATGTCTTATTTTCCATAGAACGACCTACGTTCAAATAAAATTTTGAATTCAAATTTTGGTTAGATCAAAAAACTTTATTGTATGGAGAAATGCATACTATATACAGAACATGCGGAAAAAAATTAATAGATCGGATCAGTTTTCTTCGAATATGCACTCAAGCCACTTTGAAAAATACAACTCTAAGAATAACGCGATATACTGATGGAGCTGATTGGCTTCGCGGCTATACTTTAGAAAGCTGTAAGTCAAGAATTATTCGTGATATAGATATAGATTTTTAGTACTTTTTTTTCAAATATGATTTTGAGCTAATTTTACACTTGCTGTGCACCTTAATACGGTAAAGATCGGTAAAAAGTCTCGGAAGACAATTTTTGGCTTTTGTAAAGCTTTTAACTGCTCAGATTTACTAGAATAAAAGATTCTTTATAAAACTCTTTCTTTACAACAACAAACCATGTTAAAATCATAAACACCTGCATATTTAATGACTTTTTTTACAAAGTTTTATTGCTAATTTATAATTTTAATGCCAACAATACCAGCTGGTGGCTAATAAAATATAAATACTTCCTTTCGGGGGCCATTAAGCACCCGCAATAGAATTTCAAACACACAGTAAATAAAAGAAAGCAAGAACAAAAATTTGTCAATGTGTACGAGTACAAAAAATCAATTTAAAAACTGAAAAATTACGTGAGTTTTATGAGAATTCCCAATAGCTATAATTAAAATGTGAGAAACTGAAATGAAAAGGAAGTTGTCTAGAATAAACAGTAATATTTATATATTTAGCAGCGACACACAAACTAACTAAAAGCTTCACAGGTGTACGGCTAATAGTTGAATTGAATTTGCATATAAATGAATATAGAATGTTGCAGCAGCATGTTGCGTGGATTAAATATTTTTTAAATTTAGCAAATAAGCCAAACGAACGACAATAATAACACCATGGCTATATTTTGCTTATAGTACATCTTCATAGAATGTTGCGGCAACATGTTGCCAGAAAAAATTTTAAAATTTATATTTGTAAATTAGCAAACATAACACGATATAAGAGCAATATCAAATTTTCATTAAATGTTGCTGCAACATGTTGCGGGGCAAAACGTTTTTCAAAGTATGCATATTTAGAAAATTATCAAAAATAACACCTTAATAAAAATATAAAAAAATTCATGAAATGTTGCTAAAAACTTTTTTTAATCATAACCAGAAGTAGCATACATTGAGTGCATACTAATAGCGCTCCAGAGCAGGCCATTAGAATATGTTTGTCCTAACGCTTGATAACACAACAGCCATAGACATTCGTGCGTAAATGTTGACAAACGACTCTTGGCCGAAAAGCAACAAAATGCGCTTTGAAGAACCTGAAATTTTTTACTTTTTACCTCTTTTTTCTCTTAATTGCTTAACGCCAACGTGCTGCGATAAGTGCGCGCCGGTTTTATGATGGACAAATACCGCCTACTTTTCCAGCTAGCAACGTAGGAACATGTCGAAAAATAGGGAAATATTACACATATCACAGTGTATGATGACACAACACAACAGACGCATATATATAACCACATAACCTATGAACAAACCCATATGTTTCGGTGCGAGTAAACATCGAAACTCTGGAACTGGTTCTTACTGCGCCCACATGCATTTGCTGAGCGTATGCAGCAAGAGCGACCCTAAAAGCACTCGAACGGTCATTGACGAGCTGCAGCAACATGTTGCACACAGAAGTTGCTGCTGGTTTTTGAGTAAAAGGGCACTCCAGTTTGTGTTGCCAGCGGTTTATTTTGAGTGTTTATATTGAAGTGGAGTCGGAGTTGGAATGGTACTCAATTCCACTCTCTCTCTCTCCCTCTCAGCACGTTTTGTGTACGCTCAGTGACACGCTCTCCCTCAAAACACTCACTGCAGTTCACTCACTACACAAGTGAGCGCCGCTTTGACGCTGCGATATACACGATCCCGGCTAGCGCGACTAGTCTTTAGTCTGTTTGAGTAGCGTGACGTGTGTGGTATAGAATTCGCATGTGAAATTGCTTCAACGCCAAAAAAATGAAGCGTTTGAAAAAGTGTTGAATAAAATTTCATACGCAAAGTAAATACAGCAATAAGTGGAATTTTCGTATTAGAAAAGTTTATCAAACTTTTCGAAACTAAAGCATTCAACTAGCGAAATTTCAACCGCTAAGTAATAATAAGTGGAATTGGAGAAACTTTCAAAATTTAAGTGTTCAAAAAGCGTGAATTTTTAAAAAAGTGGTTTGAAAATTTGCTGGAAAATGATGTTGTAAAAATTTTCAATTAAAAAAAAACAAAAATTTTGAAAACCTGTTGCACTGTGAGTTTTTGTAAAAAATAAAATATAGGTTTTTTAATTGAAAAAAGTGACAAACACAAACCCCTTATAAAGCAACTGTGCATCAATCTTTAAATCGTGCCGCATTCCTCAACCATTTGTGGCAGTTCTACATAAAAGCCCCTTCGGCGCTAAAAAACAACTGGTGGTGTGAAATTATAAGCATGAAAATAGTAAAACAACAATAAAAACTGCTAGATCAAAGTGAGTTCACAAGTGCATAAATATTTTTTTTGTTTTTGCAAGCAACACGTCATTTGTGCCGCATATTTACGCATACATAGTGCATTCAAGAAAATAACAACAACAATAGCAAAAATATTGCAGGCTTTGTGCAAAACGTGCGTATCTATCAAGTGAAATCGGCTTAAAGGCAAGCCGCTCAGCGCCGCAAGTGGATTACGCATTGGAAAAATAAGCAAAAATAATAACAACAACACGTAAAATCAAAAACCAACAAGTGAAAAAACAAAAACAAAAGCAAATCAATACAGCGCAGACATAAGGGTATTGAAAAATAATAATTGCAAAAACAACAATAATTATATGCACAGCACAGCATAGCATATGATTTACGCTTGTGCCAACGTGCAACGCTTTCGATACGGATATTGCCACATTGCGCGACCTTGTGGATTATTGTGTGTACAGCAACACCGCATATGCATTGCTTGCATAAACATTGTTGCCGCATAGTTGTGTGTGTATAATAGTTTTCTACTTTAATTGAAATTGTTGCACAATTCTTTGGCGTAATTATTTATTGGATTTAATCGAGAACTCTACGCTACAACATACAGCACTGTTCAACGCATATTATAAAAGGTGAGTGCGTGCACGCGTGTTGCAGTAACATGTTGCTTTTATTATTTTTGTATTTGTTTTTGTTTTAAAACTCGCATGCCTGCTCGTAATCGACGCATACGTTGGAAACTGCATAAATCATGTTTGTGCTAGTTTAGGCGCCAACAAGTAGGCTACGAAATGCATTAGCGCCTTATTAATTGCATTGTTAATCAACAGTTATTTGAATAACATTAGTTTATGCCATAAAGCGACTGCTAGTAGCAGTTTTTAGTGCAAATATTTTTTTATTGTTTTTGTTGTAGTGTGCATAATTCATGCCGTAACACGTATTTTGCGTGCACGGTGGTTATTTGTGGACTCATGCCGTTTGTTAGGCATTATTTAGTCATTAGTGGCGCAAAACGTTGGGTGGTCTTTTTTTAAGTACACGCGCTCCACTTTCTTACTAAACTCTTCTAACAACAATTTTATTCTAAAAATCCACAGCGTGGCAAGCAGCATAGCTATGTTGCTTCACCTACTCTAGTCACCTCTCTTCTATTTATTGTTGCATTTTTACGCGGCTTTAATTCTTGCTCAACTTTCAAATACGCTTCTCCACTTTTTCTTTTCAACCACATCTTCCGCTTCTATTTGCTTCTTCCTGACTATCCGCTGTTGTGGCAACATCTTAAATTATAGTTCTTTGTGCCATCAGCTTGCCATATGTATGCTGTAGCGCCGACTCTTGATTGCCATTGAGTTTTCGTCTCGTCTTGGCTTTATGCTTTGGCTGTGTTTCTAATGTCGGAGCATACCATAATAATTATCATCAACGCATACTACCTCTTCATTACAGGCGGTGATGTTGCTAATAATTTTTTTCATAAAATAATACCAATGACTTTGTTATTTTTATTTTCATGTTGCGCATGTGTTACGTATGTGGAACTATGTTTAGTGTTAATGAATTATGTAAGCGACCTAGATAGGAATGTAGTGAGAATACTCGCTGGCAGAGTACCTACAAACATATATACATATGTATGAGGCTATAATCAATTTAATTGAGTGGTTGCGTATCTATAATTTAATAGAAGAGATATTATATACTTATCTATTCCTATTTAATTGATTTTGACTTAACATAGCATGGCATAACATAGTCTAAAAATAGATGAAAAATCTAAAAACAAAATACTAAAAAAATAATAAAATTTATGTTAGCATAATGCAACATATCATAAACTAATGTTGCATAGCATAGCACAACATAGAACAACATAGCATTACATAGCATTGCTCCACATAGTATATCTAAACTTTACAAAATTAATTTCTTCATTACAAGAAAAAGCGTAACATAGCAGAGCATAACATTGCATAGTCCACAATAGCAGAGCCAAAATTTACAAAATTCGTTGTAATATAAATTTAAATAAAAACAGCATAACATTGCATAGCCAAAATTTACAGAATTCATTCCAACATAAATTTAAATAAACATAGCTAAACACAACATAGCATAACATTGCATAGCATAACATAACATAGCACAATCTCCTCAACAAAATTCACTGCAACATAAATTTATATCATATTCACTCGTTATACCTGAACTTAAATAACATATTGTATTGCTCATTTAGTTATCGAGCCTTCTTCGGTCCTACCAACGGATGCAAAGTTATTCTCTCCTAAAATATTTACGATTTTTTTTTCAAATACCTGTCGAAAGTTTTATGTTTGTAGATAATTTTCCCAAACCCATAAAAACTCATTCTTCCCCCACATTCGAAATTCCAAGCGGACTTGATAAAAATGCTAATAAAATCATAAATAACAATCAAATATGCGCAAATGAAATCAAATACCAAACAAACGACAAAATAAACATTTAACTATTTAATAGCTTGTACGGTATTGAATTAGTTGTCCAAACTAAAATTAGTGTGCATAATGTAAAACGAAATGTTTTCGAATATATTTCTGTTCCTCATTGCCGACTGTAAGCCGTTAAAGGCATTTCATACAAGCGGGCATTTCATACAAGTAGAAACCAAAAACAGAGCTCGTTAGCAGGTTGGAATTGAGGCGTCTTAATGGAAGATTTATGAAACTACTATGTGCATTTATGAATATATTGTATATATACATACTATATATGTAGTGTTGAATTTTTGAAAAATATTATGTGTTGGGATATTATAAAAATCTTGTTTTGCCTGTGAAATCATGACACCTATATCGTGTTTATTTTTGGAATTTAAAATTTTGGCTATCTGTGAATATGAACTTCTAAGAATTCGTGCTTATTTAGAAACTAGAAATAATATTAACATTTAAAGTGGTTTATAAAATTAAAAAAAAATTAAATCTGAGTTGCAGAAGTTTGGAATAAAACGATATGCATTTTATATATGTACATAAAAATTATGAAAAAACTAAAGCATAATAATATATTTTCGGTTAACTAAAATCAAAAAAATAAATTTGAAGTTAGAGGAAAAAATAGATCATATCATATCAAAATTGTGTAAAATCATAAACGTTAAAAATAATATGAGTTTATTTTCAGTTAAAATTTTACGAAGATAAAAACAAAAATAACGAGGGTAAAAAAAGAAACACAACAAACCACATAATTAAAATTAATTTTTTTTAAATATATTTAAACACCTTTTGGCTTTCCAAACACAACAAATTCTCACTAATTTATTGCTGTCTTTATGGTAATAATTTATATACACATTCTTTTTGCTTTTTTAATTCTTGAAATTGGAGTTTAAAAATCATTCAATTAATAATTCATTTATTTATGTGGATTTATTAATGCTTTTCGCCCACTAAATCAAGCAAGGTGATCAATTTTATTTGACAACTGAATATAAATGCTATGAAAAAGATAAAAAAGTAAAAACAAAATGTATAAAATATAACAAAAATGTAAAAAAAGAACTAAAAAAAATGGACTAAACTAACTGCAACAAAAACAAAAATAAAATAGAATAAAAATAAAAATTTAACAAGACAAATCACTGAAAAGTTTTAACGTTAACCAAATTCGATCATTAAACGTAAAAAATGTTAACAAGAAACAAATACCCAAAAAATAAATAAATAAATAAATCGATGGCAATTTTTAAATTAATAATATTACAAATAATATAGTATGTGCATTAAAAAAAAAATAAAAGCATAATAAAATTTTGTAAAAAATAAAAATTAAAGATTAAAAAGAAATAAATAAAAAATGAAGTAAAATAAATATTAATTAATAACAAATTCAAATTGATAAATTATTTGGAATTGAATGGTGCAAATATATCCGAATTTAATCACAATATATTATAAATTATAATAAAATGCAATGATAACAAAAAAATCAATTACATTTAGACAATTATGAAAACGGAATAAAATAAATTTATAACTTAGTATTAAACAATAAATTCTAAACTCAAAATACAATTACACAACAAACACAAAAGAAAATTCCATTAAAAAAATTAGAAATGTAAATATAACAATTAAACAAAAATAAAATTTTTAAAACAAACTCAAAGCAATCACACATGCAAAGTTATGAGTATGTGGAAAATAAATCTATCACTAAATGAGAGAAAATAATGTATTGAATAACAAGGTAGAAATAAGTAATTTCTGAGTATAAATGTACCTATAAATTCTGAACTCTAAATACAACAAGCATGCAACAAAATTGTATTAAAAAAAAAATAAAAATTTAAAACAATAAAAATTGTAAAAAAGAAACTTCAGTACAAAATAACAAAATTTTATATTTTAATTAAAAAATATTTTAATTAAAAAAAAAATTATAAAAATAAATTAAATTGTTGAAACCAAATAAAAGAAATATTTAAAAAGTTTTACCTCTGGTAGTAATAACTTTAACAAGAATTTAACAAGAACAAACGCTAATAATTAATATAATTTTGAAATGAAAACTTAACTAAGAGTTAAAAAAATATTTTATTTTGTTTAAATTAACTTAAGGATTTTTTTTTTTAAATTAATAACTTTAATTGAAATAATGTATTACCATAAAAGCTCGATCTAATGTGTCGAAATTTGAAAAAAAAATTGATAAAAAGCAATAACAGCTACATAACTATTGAAAATTACAAAAAAAATTTAAAATTTTTTTAAAATATAAAAAACAAACAAATTTAAAATTTTTTTAAAATATAAAAACAAAAAAATTATTCGTAAGTATTTTTAAGTACAGTAAAATATAACTACTTTAAAATAAAAAATTTTGAAAAGTAGGTTAGTTTATATATATAAAAAATTGTATTAATTAAATATATATATAATTAATAATAAAAAAAATAACTTAACATATTAATAAAATAAAAATATTAAATAATGAAAACTCCAAAAATATTAGAAAAATAAAAAATAAAATTATTTTTTTTCCATACTAAATAAGTAAAAAGCAATTAATATTATATTTACCTTTAACATCAAAAAACTAAAAAGTAAACAAAAAATATAAATTATTATATAAAAACAACTAAAAAGTAAAAAGAAAAAATTATTAATTTTTCTCTAAAAAGGTTTAGTAATAATAATAAGTAATAAAATAAAAATTTTATCGTGTTGAATTTAAATAAACATGTTATTAAAATTAAAAAATTGCAAGCATTTTATCAAAGAAATTTAAAGGAAAGATTTTAAATGTTAATACCTAATAATTAAACAAAAAATATGTATAAATATTTAACAAAAGTAAATAATAAAAATCTCAATATAAAATAAATAGTTTTCTTTTAATATCAATCTATAAATATTAAATAATAATATCCTTATACTGAAAACTAATAATATAACGCAGGAATGAAATATTTCCTACTCTAATTTAATATCTATCTGTTAATAATTAATTAATATCGCATTCACTTCGAAGCAATTTATATGTTATGTAGAAAAAATAAATTGATCAAAAAATTTAACTCACCAAAAAATGGCTTTCAGACAACTACTAATTCCGCATAGATACATACATACTTCTTTAA